GCCGGCATTCCTTCTGGAATGGAGAGTTGTGGGAGCATCCCTAATTGAGTTAGAGAGGACATGAGTGGCTTTGCTCATTTAGTTGTTACAGTAAAACAGTCCAGACCAATCAGCAGGCAAATTTTTCTTTTGCCGGTTCAATTCCCATTCGTCCTCCTTTCTTTTTTCATTCTTCATTCAAGTGGAACTAGGAAGCTTGCACACACTTATTAAAGACTACGGCCATTCTGAAAAGTTTCTCAGATTATTGTGCCAAAGCTTTCGTCACGGGCAGCGATACTGCAGGGATATGGTAACAAAAAAGGGTCAAAACAAAAAGAAAGGCATCTAACAGGTGCACGATTCCTCTCCTTTGGGCGTTTGTGTTCTCTGCGGCAGTAATGCTCTTTGTCTGCCCTCTGCTGTGGCAGGAGGGCAGGTGGGTGAGTAGAAGGGGTTACTGTGCTCAAAGCTAGCTAGTTAGAGAGCAGGCAGCAGGGCAGTGAGAGGAAGGGGGTGTTGAGTAATGCAGGTGGTTTCTGGCCGAGCCTGAATTCAGGTGTGAAAATAACACAAAACCAGGTGCATGCAAGTGAGACTGGAGAGATGAGATGAGATTAAAAGAAAGTGTGGTTGTTGCCTCTCCACCTGGCCATAAAGCAGAAACCCACCCCCCTCCACCGAGGCTTTTGTTTCACGGCTAATGGTCCAGGTTAATTGCACAGGTGACTTTCTGTGGGGGAACAGATGGGCTCAAATGTGTTCAAAAACAATCCCAGCAAGCAGAAAACAACTAAGAAGGAGTTGTTCCTCTCCTCTTTATTCTTCCTTTCCCTTCTAATCTTGTCTACTAAAGTCATGAAGGGTGACTGCAGTGAGGTTAAACTCTCACTGTGTTCTTCTCTCACAGTGGGTTCAATTCATCAAGCACAAGGCCGGTAAGCTCTCATTAGATCTCATTACAGTGCAAATGAGCCTCAGGAATTTGCTAGTGGAAGGATAGTAGTGGATAATAGACAGCTCTCCTATGCCTTATGTTGAGAGACTTGATTAGAGCAAAGTATTTTAAGTGAATAGAAATTTAGAGGATAGTGGAAAAAAAATACGATTGATTGAAATACAGAAATAGCTTTTTTTGTTTTTGCTGACCAACCTGTCGTACTGGTGCATACGGGATATCATAATTTGCCATTATATCAGAAATCCATACTTGAGGCCAGAAGCTTTTTAGGATTCTAAGAATTATTTGTCTCTTTCCCCTCAATGAATCATGAAGGCAGCATGTGAGCCATCAGAAATTGATTTCTCAATTGATCCACTGTGGTTTTTCTCCCCAGAAATAAAACATGCAGGGGGTGACAGAAAGCAAATTGAATTTATGAACAGGCATTGTTGACACTCCGGTGTAATTATAGCAGTGCCATGCCTTTGGTGCATGGTACATGTTTCTCTTTCTCTTTTTTGTTTCGAATAATTATGCTTCGTCACATTTTCAAGGTGACAGCTGTTCTTTTACATTGCAGTGCATATTTTGAGTGTTGTAGATGACTGATTCTAATTGGCCTAAGTTAAAAATAGATGTTTTTTTGTTTAGTTCGTGTACATTATGTAAGCTTTTTAGTTCTAATTGGTCATTGACTGACAAGTGTTCTGAAGGAGGCGTCAGTGATACACTGGATTTCTGCAAAACTTGCAAGAACCATATCTCAGTTAATTCATCATGAGCATCCTTTCTCCCTCTTCCTACCTTTACATTCCTCATGCTGCTTTTGTTAGTAGAACATATACTTGCTTGTGGCTATACTAATCTGCAATAAACATATTTATTTAGCTACTAAACAAATGTGAAACAGGAATTTGTATCACATGAAATGTGAGTCCAGGCTGCAGTGTATGTTTTAGAAGTGATTAAAAGTAAAAAAAAAAAACCTAGCCACAAAGTTTTGAAGAAGGCTTTCACACCCTCGTGTCTTGCCTTGCTCCACTAGTCCATGTCAATAATCCCACCCCACCTCTTTACTTTGGATCCCAGTGCTGCCTTCTGTGGGTGGACTTTGACTGTGTGTTCTTCCTGATCCTTCTTAATTCTTTCATTTGTTATCTTATGCTTACATAATAGTACATAATCAAGGATACGCTTGCAGTATCTCTGCTCATCCTTTTCCTATCCCTCCCCTACCTCCCTTTACTATTATCAAAGCTAAAGTGCCCCTGGGATTGGTGAATGATACTTTTCTTACTGAAGGTACTTTTTTCTTAGTGAAATAATAATCTTACAAGTTTAGTTTTTATCCCAATCCTTCTGACACCGCATTGCTCTTTCTATCCCTCCTAATTATAAAATGTGATAGTGCTGCTTGTAAATATAAGAGCCAATCCCTAGAACTCAGTTACAGTTGGCTCAGCTTCTGGGGCCAGCTACTACCTGATATCCAGGTAAAGTGAGGTAAGCAGGATCAAAGAAAATAAATGGAAACAGTAGATCATCTCTATCTGGGAGGTAAAGTTTCATAGCTTTGGTTGTGATCTTAAAGATTTAACTCTTTAAGAAAATACCTAAAAGTGCAAAAGCTGCCACCATGTTCCACACTTCCAGAAGCTTTAATAAAATCATTAAGGACCTCGGGGCTGTCTGTCAAGGTGCCCGCATAGGTGTTTCATCACTGGAAGGGTTTGTCAATGTCTTGGGTCTTAGCCCATCTTAACCCATTTAGAAAGCAATTTCCTGTGAGCAGAGGGGATCTTTCCTCTTGAGAAAGATCTGTGGGCATAAAAGGTTAGCTTTTCTGTAATTCCACACCATGCAGTGTACCAGAGCTGCTAATGAGAAGCAGATGAATATTTGCCTTAGGTTTAACAGCTCAAAATAAGATGAGTGAATTGCAGGAATAAGGCAGAAATATCTGCTTAAGTGGCCAATGTTACAGTAAGCAATGGAGAAAGTTTGCTTTGAGGATTAGTGGAATAAGTGTAGTCAAATAATGTGCAGTTTTCTCCCCGAATAAATGCTTACTTTGTCTTTGCAGATTTGTAGAATATATACACCATGTGTGTGTGTTAATAAGTTCAGACAGTCTGAAGGCTCAGTTGGGAGAAGTTCTTGGTGAGGCAAAGACCTGCTCAAGTTTAAGCTTTGGACAGCTTAGGACATAGTTAATTGAACGCTGTGAAGTAACTGGGGAGAACGCTTCCCATTTTAGTCATTTTGGTTCTTTCTGTCTGCAGTCCTCTCCCTGAACCTCCGTCTTCTAGGGCTCCAAAGTCCTGGCCATTACAAATGATGAATTGTGCTACAGTTAAGCTAGAAGTAGGACGAATTGATCAAAGTGTCAGGTGCCCCCTGTGATGTTTAGGTCTCCACGAAGAAGGCAGTGAAGAAGGAGCTGTCAAAAAGTTTCTTGTACCACAGTGGTTGTAGATAAATGTTTACCTGCCACTTAACACGTTGTGTCAGACTCACAGTGTGTCCTTACTAGCCTACATAAGAACGAGTACCTAATGATCTTGGGGTTTGATATAGTTATAGAGGCTGCAAGTTGTTCAACATATTGTTCTCCAGGTCCACAGGAGATGAAACCCATGCTCCCCCTTTTTAACCGACGAGCTTGCTATCTGAGGTGTAGTGCTGCAATTTGAGATAAGCACTACTTGGCGCAGCTTTGGTTTTGTTCTGATAAAGCTGGTCTAATTAAGCTTGATTTAATCAGGATTGCTTTTAAGCACAGCACACAGTTGGAACAGATACTTTGATTTCAAAGTAGCCCTTGGGAAGAACTTGAGGAAGAAAGAGAAGGAATGAGATAGAGAGTAAAATTAGTGAGTACGACTGAAGAGATGCTTTTTTAAAATTAGCATAAGACATGCTTCTATTCTTAGTTGTACTGTCTTCTTTTACTTCCATGAATGATTGCAGGTGGGATGGTTTATTGCTGAAGGACAATAACAAGAAACATGTACAGGTCTCACTCGCTTCCTCAAATTATTTGTGTACCAATCCACGTCACTATGTTTTGTTCATAAATTCAATTTGCCTGAGTGTTGTGTACACACAAATAACGAAAGATTGATCATCCTAGGAGTTGGAAAAGTACCAGTTGTCTCCACTTATTTTTGAACATTTCCCTTCATCTGAGCGCAGTGCAGAAATAAGATGCCTGGACCCTGATGGTAAACACTGGGAAAGAGCTAGTTCACTCATATGCGCAAAGGAATTGATGACCGAGTCTTCAGCTCCACAATAACTCACCCTAATGATCCTAGTTTAAAATAATGTCTGTTCTGGACCAGAAAGATAAAAATGGTGCCCCTCTGACTCATTAGTATCAGGGCGTAAAGATAGATGACCCAGATATAGAACCTAAGCCTCTTTCTGAACCCAGTTTCCATTGAGTGGTATACTGCATGTGCACAGTATGTCCACAACTACTCATAGTCTTGGCCTTGTGGACATTTTAAGTGTCTTCTACCTGTCCCGTCAGCCATCCTGGCTGCTTCCACTCCTCTTATTTCGTGGATCCACACAACAGCTGGAATGGTGGACGAGGGGAATGTTTTTCGAAGGCCAGTCCCTGTGTCATTGACTAAACAAGACAGAGCGCTCGGGTATTGAGCGACTCCACACTAAATCTTTGTAAAGAGCACTTAGCTCCCCTGCGTTAGCCACAGAAAGAATATCTGTCAATGACCATCACTGGATGCTTTCATCCTGAGGCTCCTCTAAACTCTAAACTAAACTCTTAAGTGTATCTTCCTCCTCCCCAGCTGTTTACTGAAAAAAAGGCAGGCTTCGGTGACAGGCCTCTGTCTCAATGCTGTTGCACTTGCAGGGATTGTTTATAGCTTATTCAGGAATAAAGCACTCTTTTATTGTGATATATGGTGACCTGTAGTCAGAGAGCACCCACAACACGATGCCTAAAATTAGAGTCATACAAGTGTGTCTGTAGTTATTATGCACTTTACTATGATAATGTACGAGCTGTAGCATAACATTTGTGCTTTTCTTATGTGCTTTCTCCCAGAGGGAGACGAAACCGGTGTGATGGATTCCCTGATGGAGGCTCTGCAGTCAGGGGCCGCCTTCCGTGATCGGCGAAAACGGACACCACGCAACGGTAAGACAGACTGCCGACTGACAAAATACTGTATTTAGGTGCCGTTGTGCAGTTTTTGTTGTTTCTGTCAGTTTCACTTGTCTGCAGAAAAATACTTGTCCCTTTAAGTTGGTAATAGCTTTCTTGCAACACTGCTGTCTATCATTTAAATTAAACATTTCTGTGAAAGTGCCGTTCATTCACCGCATGTACCCGTGTGCGACTGTTTCAAGGATTCATTACACAGATACGGCATTGATGCATGTAGAAACATATGTACATATAAACAGGGGGCACAGAAAAAAAAGGGAGGCATGTGTCCTGGTGTAGGTCATTAGAAATTTATTGCCCCTTTCCCATTCATGAAGCACTTAACAGTAGGGCCGAGGCTGATTTAGAGAAATCCTGGTGCTAATGTATTCCATTCTGCCATGATGAATAGGCCATGCCCAGAGGAGTACCACCTAGTAGGGGCGCAAGGGTCAATTGATATGCAAGTCAGAGCTCTGCAGAAGAGTCACAGGTGCTGCTGTCTTCACACTGGCAATCATATTAGGAAAAAAAGAAAGGAGAAAAAAAGACAGTTGCTGGAGTGGATGATTGTGCTGTAGATGTTGAAGAACAGTAAAACAGGGATATATTTTAAAGGCAGACCAGAAATTGTTTTGTTTATATCTAAAAAGTACATTTTAGGTTGTTTTCCCCAATATTTACATTTACAGACATATTTGCAAATAAACTAATATTTGGTGCATGATTTTGTAATGCTTTATGATCTACTGTAATTGAATTAGAATTATCAATAGAATATTAAATATTGTTGGGTAAGTTTCGGATCATTCTTGTAATAAAAAAGATGCAGTGAGTTCCTGTCGCATCTAGTCTCCCCTCAATCCAACATGCAAAGAAGCACTCTCCAGAAAGTCCATTTTTCTTCTGTACAGTCGATTGAAACCTCCTGCAGAGGTCATTAAATGAACAGTAAACACAACAGTGGCTGAAGTGCTTGAAAAAAACGTTAAAAGCAGAACAAACAGGAGAGCAGAACAGCTGGAGTTTGTTTTTAGCCTAACACGACCTGTAGCTGCACTTCCTCTTTCTTGCATGCATAGCATTACCTTTCAGATTATCATACAGGTTAGTTGTTGGATGAGTGCTCTACTTTAGTAGTGTCTGTCAGTGGTAGATATGAGCACCTGTCCCTGCAGTGCAAAGAGATGTCAAAATTAAAGTCATCAAAGAAAACAAAAACTGGAATCTGGAAATAGAATTTCTTTTTTCTCATACTAAATAGGTATAAAAATCAGTTTGCATTTCACTGGAGTAACACTCTACCTATGTGACCCAACATCTCTCTGATTGCCCATCATCACCAGTCCGTCACAGAGAGACTGTAGGAGACGGGGACAGCATGCTTTCTCCAGACAGAACGGCCATGGCTGAGGTTTAAAGCTACAGTAAAAAAATCGTACTATTTTTTAACTACGTTTTCCACATATAACAGACTATATAACAACAAACAAACACACCCACACTTTCTTCTTGTGTCAACAGCTATAATGCTGCTCATCATTCTATAAACAAAACCTCCTCCATTCTTTGCCTGTAACGTTTTCATGCTATATTTCTGTTTGGGGGTTTGTTGTGAGCTGGTGTCTGAATGTTTGGGCAGGTGTGTTAGCAAACCTAAAGGACTTTTTGCCAGACTATGGGAGTTCTTCTGCCAATATCTGAAATGTGTCACTTCTGATGCATCTTTGTCTGTTTCCCTTTTTCTTCATTTTTGCCTTCTCTATCTTCTTTTTTCTTTCTTTCCTTTTTCCCCCCCAAACATTGTTACAGGTGATCAAAGCCCTACCAGTCCAGCCCCGTGGTGGTCGGGTGCTAATTATGGTAACAGAACTCTAGGTGTGTGTATTTAACTATCATTTTAACCCAAATACCACCTTTGCTGCACTTTTCCTGGCTGCATACCTTACACATCCTTCCTGTTAAACACTCAAGCTGAGCTGGTCTACAACATGCAGAGTCCTGTGCTGAGCATTTAACCGAGAAAAGATTGAAACTGTCAGAGTTAGAAGAGTTGCTGTCACCAAAAACATGTTTCAAAATGAAATAAAAATCACAGGACCTGTAAGAGAATATCATTTGCAGTGTCACATCAAGTGCATAAAATATCGATATACAATGTTATTTATATTATTGTTATTTATACACCATTTTTGCACCAGCATAGGTACACATATCCCTAAGAAGTACAATACCAGCCCCAGTGTTTTTGGACATGAATTGACAAAAACCTGTATTGTGTATATTAGAAGTAGAGATTAGAACCAAGACTTGCAAACAAACTAATCTCAGATAAAATCGGCAATTTTTAAAAACAAATACAGAAAATATTCTGTCATTCATAAGAATGTAAAAGTTGGAGCACATTTTCTTACTAGAATTAGTATTGTGTGATAAAAGGATCACATTAAACCATGCAAGAGTAGAGTAGAAAATTGAACTGGACATTAATGATTTTAATGCTGGGTGACAGCGTGAATCTTACGCTCTGTCTTCAGAATCCATATGTAATTAAATGACTTAGCCTTGCATTAGCACCTCGATCCTTAATGCACCTCGTAAGATTAATGCAACCCCTAAAAGTGGCCGCACTACTCGAAGGAAGTTGTCTCAGCACAGTTCCTGTCTTATGGAGCAGCTACAGTTGTCATCTAATTTCTGTGCTCTTCCTAAAAGCCTGTTGTCACAGCATGATAGCACTTCCTGTCTTCTAGTGATGTTGAGCCAATATTCTGATGGAGAGGTCTGTGGACCTCAGTGCTTTGGTCACTCACAAGGTTTTTGTGTATTACACCTACTTTTTCCCTGTATGTTTGGTAAATGTCAGGCTGATGCGCAGTAGCTCACAGTGTCCTTCTAAAGGATTCTTGCTTTTTATGCTCTGCAGGCTCCCTGTATTTTTGTTGTTATTGCTGCATGTCCAAGAACCTGATACTGTGCTTGTGGATGTATCTTAAAGGTGTCATGTTGCACTTTTTGTATGCTGGTTTGTTTGTTTTTTGTTCTTTAATCACACATATCCAACAGTTATTTTGATATAACCTCTAAGTGGACATCTAAAGAGGTGAAAAAGTTTATATATGCCAAGTTAACACTTGATGTTTTTAATGATCGTTAAACTCTTATATGGGAACAACCTAATGGTTATATTTAAGGTGTGAAAAGACCCTATTACGTAAAGTTAGGCTGGGCTCTGTGCACAACAACAGCTGTGAATGTGTTTAAACCCTGCTGTCCAGAGTGGAAGTACAGATTGGTAATACTAGAGCTCTCATATTAGCGCCACTATGTCTAATACTCCCAAGAACATTTGGTTGACAAAGGTTTTATTTGTTTCTGTGTTGCATGAATTGATTTGGTATTGTTGAGTTTCTACAAGCCTGGCAGGGTTGTAGAAACCTAACCTTGTTCATTTTATTGTGAAAGCCACTTGGCCATGCCTGTGGTACTGAATAATGATGTTGTCACAAGCATGCCCCATATGAGTAATTTCTTTAAAGTATATTAGAGTCTTGTTTATGACAGAGGGTCAGAAGAAGGATGAGAGTGGCACATTGTAGCTTCATCAATGCTACTGTACAAGCATTGTGCTGAACTTCCTCTATAAACATAGAAGTCAGTATAAAAGCACTTGTGAAAGTATTTTCCCTGTAACTAAATGTTTTTGCTGGAGTGATGCAGTGGTTTGAAGCGGTAAAATAGTCACCTTTTTTTCGTTGATGAATGCAGAGATGTCAGCGTACAGTCTGACTTACAGTGAAAGCTTCATGAATATCATCCTTGGTCACTAACGCTTATGAAAAAATAAAGTGTTGCTAAAACTGACCGTGTTTGGACTTTCAAAAGCAAAGAATTTTCACTAAAACCACCACCACAACTCTTAACATCAATTATATGATTTGCCAAATTTGAAAGGAACTTCATTGTGGGATAAACCTTCACTGGGGACATCCATCTTAACTACTACTTCCTGCAAATACCAAAGGTGAAACTTCTGACACCACTGCACAATATGAAATAATATGTGACCAGTGAGATCACATAATTGCAAAACTAGATACTGCCCATCTTTATTTAAAACTGTTTTGTTCGCCTTGATTAACCTCCTGTTAATTTCATATTTTGTGCCCATAAATTGTTTTCTTATTTTTGGGAAGTAACCAGGATGACACTTTTCTTTATGATGGATTTTGCGTCATTACGATAAATCCCAGCACTGTGAAACTACTAGAATGCATTGTTTACTGACAGCTCCCTGTCTATTTATATGAAGCCCCATCCTGGTTTGATAAACTGCCGTGTGGAGTCTCTTCTCTGAGGTGATAAGAGGGGAACATTTCTTTCTAAATGTAATCAGTTGCTATGCAAAACAAGGATACCTTGTCTCATCCAATGAAAGAGGACAATGTGTCCATATTGTGTAACAACGTGTCTGCTTGTCTTTGGGTTGCTATTTCAGCATGTAAGGTGGGGAACTGGTGGTGTTTTTGTTTGTTTGTTTTACGTACTACAATATTTTTGCAGTACGTCAAGAATAGCAACATATTCTTCGGGTCAGTGAAGCAGTATTATTTGTGTACTATGTTTATGTGTAAATGCGGTTTCTGTCTGGCTCAGGGATGACAATCCAGTCCCTGAATTTTCTGTTAGAAAAGGTTCTCAGAACAGTTATAGCAGACATTGTGGCAAATCTATTCAATCCTGCTTGTCATGTCTGTTGTAATCTCATGCTTTAAAGCTTGATTAACCTCCTGTCATCCTTAAGCGAGCAGTGTGTGTGAGAGAGACTCCGTTAGTCATACAAGAATCTTCACTTGCGTTGAAAGGAGTTCATTTAAACCCAGCATGCTGTTCTTTGTCGTCCTTTAGGCTAAACCATACTTCAGCAGACTACCTCAAGTGTCAGGCTGAGCACAATTCTTGCCGCCGTCAGTCTTAATTACACCCAATTCCAGAAGCATTTCCTATTTCCTTGTCTCCACTTTGTGTAAGATGGAAAATCTAACCCGCGAGGCCATACTCATGTGTTATGCAATTACACCAGCCATTCCTAATTCAACACACAGAAAGTGGATGGATTGATGGAGACCAGGGAAACAATGTTGCTGTTTTGGAGTTCAGGCTCATTTCAGGAAGTTAATTTCTGAAGGTTGCTTTTCCTTTTTGGGGTGTATTGTAGCTTTTGTTTTTCCTTTTGCTGTAGTGTAATTTAAAATTAAGTTTTACTAAAAAGATATAAGTTACCATACACCTTTTTTATCTCTTATTCCCTTTCTTGTGAGACAGTTACCTGGGAATCTGGCAGGAGATTGGTGGGTAGAGAGCAGGAGCCTCTCATACATCCTGGCTCATCGATTTTCGGTCAGGGATGAAAGCCACAGACTCAGTAGGTCTTTCATACTGGGGGGCATCCCAAAAGACACATCAATCAGATTTCAAAGAGATCCAAGCCCATCTTATTTATTTACCACCTTTTCAATGTCATTACAATCCCAAACCACGGCCTCTCTCCTTTCCTTTGTCTGCCCAAGTCTCCGGCTTCACCTTCACAGGTCAGTCCATCAAAAGTTCCCTCCTCTGTTCTGTCAAGTAAGTCTCTTAAGGACTTACTTGACAGAACAGAGAATGATCATCTTATTTCCATTAAGAAACAGAGATGCAATGATATAAAGCTCGTCGGAGTTACGGAATTTCAGCCTAACAGTCTAATCCCTCGAAGCCCAGCAGTTAATTCAGCTGGCCAGGCCAGAGAGTGAGCTCCTTGTATGTTTAATGAAGATTAAATTATCTATTTTCTCTCATGAAATTTTTATGGCAGAAAGTGGATGAATCTGCAAAAAGGAAGGCAAATAAAAAGTCCAAAGGAAAGTGTCTTTAAGATGAGGTTGGTAAAGGATATTCCAGTTTTCATTTATTTCCAACCACCTCGTGACATAAATGATGGCTAATGCATATTACGCCTCTGTTTGTTAACCACATCACCCGTATGCAGACAATCACAGTATGTTCAGGCTGGCAGCTGTTTTCTCATCTTTCCCCTGATCTGGGAGAAAGTCAGCCATTTGTTTCTTAAATTACATCACAGGAAGTGATAGTGATCGTAATTCCCTTAGCAATTAATTTGCTCACACATATGTTGTACTCATCGTTTTATCTCTCTGTGTTGTCTCTCAACCTCTCTGGCAGTTGTTCTCCTTGGCTGTTTCACACACACACCTTCAAACATGTGTGACATATCTGATAGGGACTATTGCTGTAGGGTGCCTCTGAGTTGAGGGCTAAAGCTCTTTGCCTCCACAAGCTCCTGGCCTCCACTTTAGGGTGTTGATAGATGTTATTCATTGGGGCAGCCCTAGAGGCAATCCTAAAGGAAGTGGAGCTAACATGATTTGAGGCAAAGAGGCCCAGAAGGTGTTGGTGCCTCATACTGCAACGTGGATGGTTTAGTAGATGTGAGATATCAATAGAGCAGATGAGAGAAGAGTTCTGTGGAGACGTACGGCTTGAAATCTATCACCTGTTTCTCATAGATAAGGATATTTATCAGCAGCCAAACAGAAAAGGCAGATGGAAAGGAACTGAGGCGTGGACAGCCATTCTCGTCCTAGGACTTGGACAAAGCCATTGTCCGTCCTTTTGACCCACAGGGCATCTCTGTACACCTGATCATTTTTCACCCTCAACAGAAAACCCATCACGGAAATATAGATGAAGATTTTATGTACCATTTGAGTACCCTTGGCACATAACTGATTTGTTGCTTGACTCTGCCAAGAGAGGATGTAAAGTAAGTGAAGTGTGACATAGAGCATTTGAGAAGATAAATCAAATCTTAATAA